GCCCTTGGAGTGGCCATGAAGGCCAGGGCTATCACAGTCCCCAAGCTCTAATCGGTCGTTGGCACAGGTAGTAGGTTGTTCGGTAGCTCAGTGGAAGTAGCGGTGATGAGGTTCTTAATTCGACTCATCTTTGCCATTTCTTGCTCCTCGGTCAAGCGAATGAGAGGGACGCCTAGAAGTGTTAGATCTAGAGACGGAGAAGACACCCGTAGAAAATCTATAACTTTGCTCTTGCAGGGAGCTGAATAGTGGTAGCTTGGTACGTAACCGAGAAGCTCGTGACAATTTTGGTGCCTATATCTTAGCGCGACCCTGATTGCCTCTTCGTTCAGGTACAGATAATTGGCTTGTAACTCTTTGATAGCTACAAAAAGAAGGCAATTAGCTTGGCACAATCAATACTGACAAAATTAATCAGCCAAAAAGATCGGCTTACAAGAAAAATTGAAGTCCTTACTGATGTACCAACCGGGCATGTCAGCTGTCTCATAGTTATCGGACACCCAGAAGAAATCATCATCATGGATGTCCTTATCCAGTGTGTCGGTTACTAATCATTCTCTGCCTGGTCGTATTTTCAAATAATAGTTATAGTCGTCTTTTGTTCAACCGAGCGTGTATTGGCGCAGTATTTTGGCTAGGCCCAACTGTAATCCTAGCCGATCATTTAGCTCAACCACTCCATTTATAATCCTAAAAGTGTTTGTGGATACTTGTGTAGGAGCTAGTCCGATGCATCTCAAGAATTTGCACATTAGGGGCTGTATCGAGAAGCGCAGCCCCCCCTTCACAATGCCCAGCACAGTGAAGGGGCAAGACCCTAATCTGCCCCATGGGTTTATATCCTCTTCACCAAGCTCTAAGTGTACGTCGGTTAGAACACCATATTCCTCTCGGAACACAGCCAGTGCGCCCAGCGTGTTTATAAGGAAACGATAGTGCCCAACAGTATTGAGTTGGCAAAGACATGCATGATGGCTGCTCAGTCTTTAAGAGCGCTTATGTTGGTGTGTCTAGTCTCCTAAGATTCTGCATTTAAAAACAAAGTGTCAAGTGACAACGCGGCCACGCGTGTCGAGCTAGATGGAAGCTCGGTTAGCCATGGTTTACTAGTTCAGTCATGTGTTGTGACCCTTTGTGGGTCTTACTAGCACGACAATACAAGTAGACTAGACCTTAGCTTGGCCTCAGGACCCTGGTGTTTAAACAGCTTAGTCGCGCAAGCGAGCTAAAAATTCACTCGATCGCGCTACCTAATTTGATTTAGAAGCTCGGTTTTCTCATCTAAGTGCCATAAACACAAGAGTGATCTGATCCAGCTATAGTTTTGAATCAAATTAGGGCGCACAGCCCGGTCAAGCCCAGATCCACATTTGTTCATCACAGAAGATGATGAACGGTGTGGAAAACTAAGGGCATAGGAGGTTTTCGACATCGAAAGTGGGGCAAAACCCTAGTCTAATCCTGTTATTTTTAGTGTTTGGCTATTATTATCATACCCTGAATATGGATGCGGAGGTTTAAGCCCAAAAACATACAAAAAACATGAAAAACCTTAAGAACACGAAGGAAATGACAGAGTCACAGGAAGGATATGAAGGGCTTACTAAGTTGGAGCTTCAATCGGAGTTCCAATCAGATAAACGCACCCCCAACGACGGCAGCAACGGAGGACCGATGCCTTAGATGCTCTGATTTGAGCACTGGAGATAAAAAATGGCTCGACAAAGAGTGGAGAAGATGAACAATAAAATTTGAGAGGTGAAAAGGCATACGATATATGTATGGGAATAGAAGAGGCACCAAAGTTTGAATCTGAGGAGACGACGTGGGACAGTTGGGTTGGTTGTACAAGGCCAATGGGTGAATGACACGTGTCTATGATGAGACCGGTGTCAATCTTGAAAAGACAGGCTGAAAAGCCGAATTACCAACCAGGCAGGCCATAAGACCAAGCATGAGGATTAGTGCGGTTGAGAAGAATGCAACGATTTGGAAGTGTGAGCGGTGGGATAATTCACCGAGCAGATAACGATCGAGCATGCGGACAAGCTTGGCCAATTAATGTAATCCCGATCACGCTAGCGCAGACGAAATTAAGGGGCAATTGAGAGGGAGATTTATGGTTTAGTAATGGGCCGAGCTAGTTTAGGTGGGAGTCAGGGTCTTCGCTCGCTCAGACGTTGGGTGCGCGCGGGGCCGAGGAGTAGATCCGGTCAAGTTAGAGACAATTTTGAGCTACTAGCACGATAGAGATGTGCATTCCACTAAGCTGGACGGAATTTTTTCTCGGAAGGCCTGGTTCTACAGAGCAGGAGCTCACTGTGGATTACGGAGCTTGGTTGGCCCGCAAACTGGTTTGTTCAATGGGATCGAGCAAGCAGCGCGACCCTGATGGAGGATTGCAGCACCGCGCTTGGTTTAGCTCGATGGTGTGCGCTTCGTGGCATCGCTTGACTGCTGGAAAGAGATTCTGTCATCTGTACACGTCAATACCGTTAGGCGGTATTGACATTCAGTGTTTGGCAGTATAGGCTCTTACACGTAGAAGAAGGTAAGAGGGGAACATATCCACGCGTCAGTAGTAAGAGACAAAGAGAGACGCGCAGAAACTATATAAACAGAGCTGCGCCTCCATGCACAGGTCTAGAACATCTACTTATCAGAGCTACCTACCTCTTTGTCTCTCTCTTTCTTCTATTTTAGTGTGCTAACTTGACCGTCGGAGGGTGTTTTCGGTAGCACACTACTGGGTGGCTCACCGTTTTGTGTTCTCAGGTCACTCGGAAAGAAACAAAGCTTGGACACGAGGAGTACGGAAAGCGACGGATATTTGCTCCCCGTACAGTTATAATTTTGCAATGACTGTAAAGAAATTCTCCAAGCATATCGGTATGCCATCAGTTCACTTGTAGCTTATATGCATTTTTTTTTCCGAAGAACAAAGAATAAATAGTTATATTTCAATAATTGTTAATGTCCTTATCTCCAAAAAAAAATAAATAAATAAAATAAAATTTGTCAATGTCAAAAAAAAATTCTCGTTTGACCTTTTACAAATCTCAAACAATACAATAATTAATAGAAAAATAAAATAAAAATGTTTCATAAAATGTTTTTCCTTACATTATATTTCAGTTTTGTGGAGTTGTTTGCCAATTATTACAATATATATATATATATATATATATATGTATATGATTAAGAAAGATTGAATATATATGATTAAGAAAGATTGAATGCATTGAAATGAAATTAATTTTTTTTTTAAGTGACAAATTTGAATATAGAACAAATTTGAAAATTTTGTGGACTATATATTACTTGAAAGGGTAAATTACAGTTACTTCCTGAGGCTTCTAACAATTACAATGACTTCCCATATGATTTCAATAATTACACTAATTTCTGTTATTTTTTAAATTATTATCAAAATTCCCTCACTGTTACCCTCTATTAGGCTATTTAACATAATTTACTAATGTCATGCTGATATCATAGGTTATAATACCAAAAATGATGAAATTGCTCATTAGTTACCTTATCTATTCAAATAAGAAATTTCACTCACCCTCTCTCAGATTTTATATATGTATTATCAAAGACTCATACATATTTTAATACTATTTAATAAAATTCTTAAATTTCATGCAATATTAATAAAAGGGCTTGGCTTTGGTCCAGTCCACCATCGGAGTGGACTGGACCGTGCTGTTGGGCCCGTGGGGGCCCACCACGGGTCCCGTTTTGAAAACTTGAACCGTCCAATGTGTAGAACTCGTCGAGTACTATATGTTTGTGAAAAATCACTTTGATCGGATATCGATAGCTATGTGATCAAAACAGTTTTTATCAACCGTTAATTTATTCACCGTCCATTTTTTTTATACAAAATTGATTTGATCACATAGCTATCGATATCCGATCAACGTGATTTTTCACAGCCATAGAGTACTCGACGAGTTCTACATATTAAACGGTTCAGATTTTCAAAACGGAACCCGTGGTGAGCCCCCACGGGCCCAATAGCATGGTCCAGTCCGATCGGACTGGACCAAAGCCAGACCCTTAATAAAATTAAGACATTATTAAATTATTTAATGAGAAAAAACTTAGGTCCGTTTGGTTTAATTTTAGAATTATGATTTGAGTGTGGAATTGTAGTTTGAGTTTTTGAATCATGATTTGAAAAGAGAAAATTTGTTTGGTTATGAGTTTTGAAATTAGTTTTGGGATGATTTGTAATATTTTTTTTTTTAATTAATTGATATGTAAAATGTAAGAGGAGAGAGGAGAGATGAGAGAAAAAAATGATTAATTGATTAATTAACAATAATAAAAAAGAAAGAGAAGAGAGGAGTTTTAAAAGTAATTTTGAGTTGTATTTTAAAAATTTATTTGGTTATGTGTTTTGATTCAAATCATGATTTAAAAATAGAGTTGAGTTTTGAAAAGTAAACCAAATGCTACCTTAATTTTCATTGATAAAATGCTTAAAAATAAACAATTTCTCTAAAATTAATACTAGATTACATCCTAATAATTTAATATAAGACTTATTCCACAATACATAAACAACATAAATTTATCATTTTAATTAATGTATTTATTATTTAATTTTTTTTAAATTTGAAATAAATGGATTTTTTTCCTCGACAATTTGCATTATTTATTTATTCATACGTAAAAAAAATTATTTTATCTTTTTTCAATCATATGTTATTCTTCAATTTTAATTTTTATCTTTGAGTAATTAAATTTTTAATCGATCCTTATTTAAAAAAATATAAATTAATATTTCTTACATAATTAAAAAAATTAAAAATTAAATATAAAAATAAATCCAAATATTCATATTTATAAATTTCTATCTAATTTCAAACCAAATTCTAAAATTGTTGAATTCAATCCGCCCCTTATAAAAATTTGCAGCACCAATCTCGCTCGCTCACTCACTAACTCACTAACTAGTTGTTTTCTCTCTCTCTAAACTAATCCATAGAATTCTAGAAGCCTCTTATCTTGGTATAAAACCCCTCTTATTCCCTCCTTGAACTTTCTAGGGTTTTATCTTTCTTTCTTCTTCTTCTTCGTCTCCTCCATTACACTGTCAGCTCTCTCAAAGTCTCTTCAATTCAATCATTCTCTGTCAAAGAAAAGGTATGCTTTGGATACTATTTGTTCTTCAATTCTATCATCAAAAGCCTAATTCTTGGTTTGTATTCGATTGGGTATCTGATTTGGGATTGTGATTTGGGCAGGAATGGCGACAGCACAGCTCACTGCATCGTCAATTTCAGTTAGGAATTTTCCCTCATTCGAAGGGCTTAGACCTTCAACAGTCACCTTCTCTCTCGTCGCTCCATTGAAGCAAGGCAGGTCGTTCCGTGGCCTTGTCGTCAAAGCGGCCACTACTGTTGCCCCAAAGGTATAGCTTCTTCTTTTTTTTTTGAATTTTGCTGAACAAGTTTTATGTTTGCTTCAAAACTAGATTGGTTGTGATTTTGCTTTGATGGGTTATTTGGAAATTTACGATTAAATACTTATATAGTAATCAATGTGGATAAATTATGGGTTATGAGATGCAGAGCTAGAAGTTCTTGGTATGAGTCAAAAATAAAGGGGAGAGTTAAGATTAACCTCTATGGGTCCAAAATTCAGTTATTTTTGTTTTTTTTTTAAAATTATTTATTATTTATTTATTTATTTATTTTTAAATGCAAATATTGCTGAAAAATAAGAATTTACTAAGGAGTAATTGAACATTCTTGAAGTGTTGATTCTCTTCTCATATTGTCAATATTGAGCTTTTATTTTTGTTCATTTACTTTTTTGGATGGAGATCTTTAATGCTGTGTTTGGCTCATAGATTTGTGAAATGGCTTCTTTTTTTGCTTTTTGGTTTATTATCATCAGTAGTCTTGAATTATCTGATTCACTAAAATGAAATTGACAAATTGAGTTAGTGGTACCCATTTGTTTAGTACGTGCTAATAATTTTTTTGGCATTGACTTCAACTGTTGCCAATGCATTATTATTGATGATGCTTAGATTTGTGTATATACTGCATTTAGTTTCTTTAATTCAATATGTCTCATGTGCTATAATGGTCTTAAAATTTCCCAGTACACTACACTCAAGCCATTGGGCGATAGAGTTTTGGTGAAGATCAAGACTGCAGAGGAGAAGACTGTAGGTGGTATCTTGCTTCCATCGTCAGCACAGACAAAGCCTCAGGGAGGTGAGGTTGTTGCTGTTGGGGAGGGTAAAACAATGGGGAAGAACAAGGTAGACATCAGTGTGAAGGTATGTGTTTTGCTTGTTTGGATCTTTTGTAACAATAATTTCATTATATATTTTTGCTGACTAATTTCATTTGTGCAGACTGGCGCCCAAATTGTGTACTCGAAGTATGCAGGGACAGAAGTGGAGTTCAATGGATCAAACCATCTCATACTAAAGGAGGATGACATTGTTGGTATTCTAGAGACAGATGATGTCAAGGATATGAAGCCCTTGAATGATAGAGTCCTAATTAAGGTTCATAAGCCTTCTGACTTATTATTCCTTTTCAGTATTGATTCCTACCTTTGTTATAAAATATAAAAAGAACCAGTAGAGTTAGTGTTCATTTTTAGATGAGCCTCTGTCGTGGTTGTGGCTGCATGACTAAGTGTAAGCTTTTTAGGACCAGCAAATTCAGTATTGTTTCTTCCGTATGTTCACCACACCAAAATGCAAATTGAGAAACTGATTTGCATCAGTTTGAAGATACGGAGTTGATAATAATGTCCTTGCATAACACCCATTTTTCTTGTTAGCAGGATGTTTGCAAATCCCATATAGAAATTTACCTTAGTTAATGTTTTCTGAAACTAGGCTTTCTAGATGTTTGTTGTCTCCTTGAATTTTGTATTACACATCCTGATCTTATATTTCTTTGTAGAATTAGAATGTGAAGTTACGACTGACAAAACTAAAATTCAAAAATAGGTCGCTGAGGCAGAGGAAAAAACTGCTGGAGGCTTGTTACTAACAGAGGCAAGCAAGGAGAAACCTTCCATTGGCACGGTAAAAAAATTTTCTATTTAAACTACTCTTTGATAAATTTAGTTTTTTTAATTGCCCAATATCATGAGCTTGAGGGTTACCAGTTCCATCATCTGCACATGCTCAGCAGGGTTTCAATCCCTGCTGACCCTTCCAGATGGTGGTGGAGCCACTTATGGGATCAGGGCACGACATGTCAACTTTTAAAAATCTACCTTTTAGCATAAGATTTTGAGCCTGAACTTTTCGCCCAAAAAGTGTATACTTATGACTTACCTAAATTTTTTTCTTCTTCCAACCAACTTGACACATCGTTAACCAGAACAAGCACACAGATTGATTCCTTATTTGCTTCTCAAATAAATTTAAGAAAGCATTTCATTTTATTATGTATAGTTTATTGTCATTTCTTATTGCTTGAGTGTTTCATAGATTTGAATGTTACAATAATTTAATTGTAGCAATACGTGTGGTACTGGAATAGTTTGAAATATTATAAATGATTTTTTTTAACTAAATGAAACCAAACAAAGCCTTGTGTTTCTAACCGACCTGATGCAATAATTTTTCTTGTTTTTCTGCCCTTCAAACTGCATCACTGCTCCCCATATGTGCTACTACTGAAGTTCTAAAATAAAAATGTAAAAAAAAGAATAACAAAAGTGCAATGTTGTCGGAAAATACAGTGGGCTTCACTTTCCTCGTCTTTCCTCCAATTAGCCAAATCTCAAATGGCAGTCTTTCTAATTGTCTTTGCATGCATGTCTTTGTGTATTCAAAGCTTTTTGATGATTTGAAATTTTAATTTTTAGACATTATTATTGTTGTTGTCTGTTTGATGATGACAGGTGGTAGCAGTGGGGCCTGGTCCCCTGGATGAGGAAGGTAAAAGGAAGGCGCTACCAATATCTCCAGGGAACACAGTGTTGTATTCAAAGTATGCAGGGAATGATTTCAAGGGAGCTGATGGTTCAGAATACATTGCTCTTAGGGCATCTGATGTGATGGCTGTGCTTTCTTAGTCTCTCTTGTTCCCCCTAGGGCATGCATGTGTGCTCTTCTTTTATTCCTTCACCACATTTTCAAGTCACTTTGAGTTGAGTTAAATCTATGTAATCACACACTTCAAAGGGTGTAGGCCCACTGTAACGGATTCTAAGACAAAGGCTTGTTTGTGGAATATTTTTGTCTTTGGGTGGTATCTATTTATGTTTCTGCTGAATCTCTTCCTCTACTTAAAAGGAGTAATGACCTATTGGTTATTAATTGCTTTTGATGCAGTTGCAGTGGCTTGCACCGAGATTGCAGGAATTATGTTGCTTAGTAAGACAGACTTATGGGCTTGGTTATCATGCAACTAGGTTTTGTTTGAATTTGCGTAAAGGGAAAGGTGAAAAATTTACACTAAGGGCCTGTTTGGTAACACGTTTATATTTATAATTTTTATCTTTTATTTTTATATTTATAGAACTCTTAAAAAAAAAGGCGTTTTTATTTTTGTTTTCAAAAAATTATAAACACAAGAAAATTGTTTTTATTTTTTTGTTTGTTTATTTTTTATTTTAGTTTTTTTATTTCTTCCATCTTTTTTAACCATTGTCTATTACTCATCATTATCTATTACCATCGCTAATAACCTCTTCCGTCAATCACTAATGGTTACCACCTCCCTTAATAGCCAAGCAGTTTTCATTGCCACCAATCACCTCTCATCGATTGTAACCATCTTTAGCCATTATTTTTTATCTTTTTTGAAAGTCACTTTCAACTTACATTTTAGATGATTGGTCCGATTATCAATAATCACTTTTGTCTATCATTTCCAATGGCCAACGATCACCTGCCACTACCAACCACCTCTTACTAGTTGTGGCTACTATCTTGGACGACTACCTGTTGTAGTTGACAATCATTTTCAATCGTTGGCAGTCACGTTTTGCAATCACTTTTTTTATTTATTTTTAAAATAAAATTTTTAAATACTAGTGTATTAAATGCGTGTTTTATTTTCATTCGGCAATGGTTGGTGACTCGAAATTCAGTGACTCGAATGGCTCGAAATTGTCAAAACGATGTCGTTTTGGGCGCAAAATAAGCTAAAACGACGTCATTTTGACAGTTTTGAGCCATTTGAACCTCTGATTTTGTGACCCTCAAACATTTTTCATTTTCATTTTTTTTTAATCTAAAATAAACATAGACATGCTATTTGGTTTAGTTTTTTAAAAGAGCTTTTTTTTTTTTTTGGGTGGATAAAAAAATTTGGGTAGACTTTTTAAAAGAGTTTTGAGCTATATTTTAAAAGATAAGCTGTTGAAAGAGTTTCAAAAAGTGAAAATTTATTTGATTATGAGTTTTGAAAATAATTTTAGAATGATTTGTAATTTTTTTTTCTTTTTGTCGTTGAATAGATGGGTGTGTGAGAAAATTCGATTGATTAATGTATAAAATGTGAGAGAATAGGAGGGGAGAGAAAATAAATTTGGAAAAAATTTTGAAAATTGATCAACCAAGCATATTTTTTGATTTTTTGATCCAAATGTTAATTTAAAAACTAAACCAAACAATACCTATGTTTTTTTTGTAAATTAAAAATAACAAATTAACCTAAATGTTTCAAACAGAAAAAGCTTGTACCGAAAATTATTTTTGTAGATAACTTTATTATTATTATTATTGCTGATTGTGACTCAAAACTTTTGTGGCAGTGATTGTATTAGTGGTGATGGATGGTAGTGGAATGTGCATTGGTGAGACTCTTGTTCGGAAAATGTTTTTCATGCAAAAGGAGAAATATTTTCTCTCTTATTAAACGTTTTTTTTTTTTTGGGGGGGGTAGTTATGGGGGAATTATTGTCCAGTGAAGAGTAGAAAAAAAAATATAAACACATGGGGTACAAATGATGGTGGGGTGTAAGTGAATTTGTGGAGTGAAATGCCTCTATATTTTTGTAATTTTTTTTCTTCTATGTCGCTGGCTTGGTAGTAATTTTTTACTGAGCCGTGATTCATACCCCCAGTGGGGGTCGACCCCAGTGACATGGTGGCCCCCTTTTCGCTGGAAAAATAAATAAATAAATAAATAATTTTTTTTTTGCCCAATCAGTGAGCTACACGCACGACCCCCAGCACCCCGAGCTGGGGGTCTTAGGCATTTTCTTTTTTTACTTTCGTTTTCTATTCTATCAAATGTCAAAGATTGTAAAAAATATATTTTTATGTTGTGTTTGGTTGAGAAATTTAAAGAAAAATTTGAAAAGAAAAAGAAAAAATGTGTAAAACTAAATAAAATATTGATATATTTTATTCTCATTTCACCTAATTTTTTTCTTTTCTATTTCAAATCCCTCTTCATATCTCCCAACTAAACACAGTATTAGAAAACATCTCTTGTCGAAACAAATGGACTTTATTTTACTTTTCTTTCTTTTATCTCTGCAATTGTTTATATAAATTCGACATCTAAAGTAGAAGTTTGAACTCTGTTAACAGTAGAACCCTGAAAGACCATAGAAGAATTTGATTACTTGCGAGCTATGTTCTGTGACATCTCTTTAAATTTGTTTCCCATTGCTATTATATTCAGCTCGTTGCATAATTTTCAGTTCTTCAAACACAAGAATACAAATTTTAATGAGCTCACTTCTCACTTAAAAGTAGATTTCCATCCAGAACTTGGCCAATGGAAAAACTTTCAAAAATTCTTAGTCTAGCAACATTTAAAAAAAAAAAAATTCATCATTCTGCTACATCAATTCACACAGTACACACTTTGTTAGATTGGGATACACTCATTTCCATGAATCTATCTTTTGTGCTGAATCTCTCCATCAAAGCCACCCATAAGTGGAAGCTAAATCTAGGAATTACTTTTATGTACCAGATCATCATCACACCACGGCACTCTGCTTCTCCCGATTCCGACATTGCATCCCCTGATTACTGAGCCTTCCTCCCTACTGCCATGGTCAAAAAGTGCCCCCAAATTTACCATCCGAACTAGGAAGCCATTCAACACTCATCAGCTTTGCTGCTGTTTTGGTTTGTACACATTCTGTGTAAACCTTTTAAGCAACCACAAAGCTCATTTGACAATCTTGCAGCATTTCCCGGGGATTGATCCAATTGTCGACAGAATTCCTCTATACAGTATTTCACCTCATAAGAAGTGAGTCTTCAATTCATATTTATGAATTCAGAACTCTTTACCAATCAAATGAGGGAATTCCTGAAACTAGAACTCGTTATCTATTGAAAGAGTTAGCTATGTTATCATCATAGTGCCCTCTCCATGCATTCCCACTGTCAGTTCCACTGCAAGCTTGTTTGGGAACCGGCACGTGACTAAGATCTCCGTCCAAACTCATTTGCTGCACCTCAGCAGATGACAGTATCTTTATGCTCTGAACACAACTCACAAACTCCCTGAAAACAATTTAAAATTTTACTCATGAGAAATTAAACTAGGCAAAGAAAACATAGAGATGAGTGCACAATCTGTCTCCACTTACTCCCAAGGATCATCTCCAACGAGTAGTATGTCATTTTCATGATCTACATAGACAAGCTTCCACTCTGTTCTTTGCGAATCTTCTAGTTGTCCTTCAATCCCAAACATGCGGGCCAGATCATGCCTGAGCTCATCATAGCCCTTGTAACGGGTAACATCAATAGTTCTTCCCACCGAGCCACGCTTTTGAACCTGCATAAATTTTGAACTGGTATCAAGCAATTGTAAGAGAATACAATCAAACTTCACAAACTATTATTTCTATTTCTTTTCCTTTATATTTGAGTGATTCTCAAGAGATGAAGTGAACTATCAGACCTTTGTGTACGTTCGCATTCTCTGAGTCTGGTTAGCCCACAACCCACCATTCAGAACACCAGCCTCGTTGATTGCAACATCAGTTGAACATCCTGGTTTGAAAGACATGTTGGGTACCCCATACGACTGAGAACTCATTGCAGCAGTAGACAACTCTGTCTCGATATCCCTTGGCGTGCAACCATAATTGGACAGCAAGTTCTGAATGTCTTTCCCGGAATCAAAGCCCCTTGACAACAAAGCATCAGGTGTCAAACTATCAACATTAGTTGCAAAGGGAAGATTGTTGTTCCTAGACTGTGACTGAACATCCCCATCCATAGAAAAACTGGGGAGTGCGAAATTCTGTTGGAGGCCACTGGCGTCCAAGCAATATGACGTAGCAGAGGAAACATCCAATTGGTCAGTAACAGTTACTTTATATTTTTGTTGCTCAGGTCCTTTTGAGCCAGGCAACTCATGTTTGATCCGAATTTCAGGCTTGTTTTGAAGCTCTTGAACCATGTTAGTAGCAGGATCAACCACAGAATCCTCCACCAACACAGATGCTTTTTGTTGGTTCCTGCTCAGGAAATTTGACGGAGACACCTGGCAATTATTTGTAGAAGGTGAAGTTGAACATGACGGAGCATCCCCTTCTGTAAGACCAGAATGGGCTCTGATTGGTTTGTGCTGACCCTGAAGTTGGTTCACAAATTGCGGTGATTGCATAAGTGTCGATGTCGAGAAACTATTGCCACTGATTTGCTGATGCTGAGACAAAGGCAGATGTTGCAATTGCCGGTTCTGTTGATGGGCCTGTTGTTGCTGTGGAAGCTGAGGCTCCAAACGAGGGCTTACTGGGGATAACAGTTGTTGCTGCTGCTGCAATTTCTGTAGTAGCTGTAGTTGAAGACGCTGCTCCGAAAGGCTTTGCTGCAATGTATTTTGCCCTTGTGGATTCTGCGACAGGCTCGATTGCAATGATTGAAGAGACGTTTGTTGAAGTTGTGCTTGCTGTTGTTGCGGCGGCCTTTGGAGGATGCTTGCTTGTTCTATTTGTTGCTGATACTGCAAGTCCTGTGGTAATTGTGTCAACTGAGGCTGAATTGAATTCCTATTACTTGAAGGAATGCTTTGTTGGGATTGGGCATTCCTTGTTGATAGTTGCCGGAGTGAACCTGAGAGTACGTAACTGGTTGCTGCAAATTTTGGTTCGGGATCTGGTTAGGGGTAATTATACTATTATTTACAAGAGATTGCGGTAATATCTGTTGTTGCTGTTGCTGTGGCTGTTGTTGCTGCTGTGGGTGCTGCTGCGGTTGTTGCTGATGCTGATGCTGATGCTGAGAATTGATAGAAGACTGTAACAATTGTTGCAGCTGCTGCTGTTGCGGGGGCCATGCCAGAGATTGCTGCATGGGTTGAACGACTTGTTGATTCTGTTTATTGGTTTTGCTGAACTGGAGATTTTGCGTAGAAAGAGCAGGGGCTTGAAAGTTCAACAACTTGGAAGGATCATCAGTGCTAAGGTTGTTGTGCATGGATGCTGCAGAACCAACAGGCGGGAAGAATCCTGTTTGTGCAGATGGAAACCGATGATTTTGTTGCATGCTCATCCACTGGACTAAACTTAAGCCGGGAAAGATAGAGCTTGACGCATCTTTTATGCCGAATTCATCGAGCCAGGGCATGCTTTGCTTGAAAACATTCTCCATGTCAGACTCGTCATCTGCAAAATCACTCGAGTAAGGAAAATAAGGACAGAAGATAGGTTGAAACAAATGTGAATAGTGTCGGCCTTCTTTAAGATCAAGATAAGACAATAAGTTCTGTAAACTGATCACTGCATTTCATTGAACTAAGTCCGAATGGAAATTCAACCGGTCACTCGTTCTTTTGAGGATTAAGTGGATAGATAATTTAAAACCTAGAACCATCAACTTTCAAGGAGTCCCATCAACTAAATGGACAAGAGCAATGCATAAGCAAGCTTTTGGACCACACAATGCTCAGACCTATTTTAATCAAACATATTTCGAATCAGGATTCAGTTCCAAATCTATGGCACTAGCTAGCATAATCAGTACTTATATCCAACAAGCAAGACATGAAAGCATCAATGCGCCACCACTCCCTTGCCACCCCACTCAAATACAAAACAACTTACAAATTGGAAAATGTGGGATAGGCAAAGAATAGATTATCGTTGAAGGATACAATTGAAAAAACATGCGTTAGGCATCAGAATAAATATAAGACAAGAAGTTCATGACAATCTTCAATCTATGCCACTAAAATAGGGATTTTTTGGAAGTTCAGAAACAGCTAACTTCTATTACATGTATTATTGAATACAGTAATGTTACCTACTTGTGATAGATCAATTGCAGAAGTGTCATCCATACAAACTGAACTTGTATAGAAAATTCCTTACAGAATAATGTGGCTTATTTACTTCCATTCACTGGAAAACGAAAAACACATCTCTGTGGTTTATAATTGCAGAAATGCCACCATCACATGACTAACATCATTCTGTAAGAGTTTTTTGTATAAAACTTTTGTATGTTTAGCATTTTTTCCATTTTAGAAACATAGTCCAACTATGTATTCATTTACCCGGAGTATACTCCGTGAAAATTTGCTCACCTGGCAACCCTGGTTGTTTGGGAAACTTAGGTCTGAAAAATGGAGGTGGACATATGAAGAAAGGATTTACAACAGGTTCAACCTCCCAAATTGAAACTCGACTGGGACGGTCCCCAGCAGTTGATTCATCCCACCCAACCTGCCAACAATAAGTATGTTAAACTGACATGGAAAGTTGTAGATAAAAAAAAATAACACGAATTTATTTAACTAAATTGAGCATATAATCATTGACAGAGCTAATGATGGAAAAGGATTCATGTAGGCGGTCCGAATTGATTGGGACACAAGGTTTGGTTTGGTATCTAGAACTTGGGTAAAAGTGTTGAAGAGACCAACAAGTGTCCGATTCATCCAGTATTTTGAAATGCTTATACAGTTTAACCTCAACAAGTGAACAAACAATACCTGAAGATTGCGCCATTGTGAATTTTTCCACCGCATTGTATCCACATCACTGATACCTGTGATTGTACCCATGTATCTGCGCACTCCTGACTCCTCTGTCTCAAACATCATTCTGAACCGCATGCCCAATGAAACTTGAGTATACATTGCTTTATTGTATTTGGCCAGTGGAATCACAAACTCAGAAGGGCTGGCCCTATTAAAATCAAATTATTTTCTTTCAGTACACACGATCTGGAAAATTCTGCAAAATTAATCAATTTATAAAAACACCAACTCAGATATGTTACTGTAGTACCTTGGATTATAAAATATAGTAAATGGGCTGTTATTTGCCGAGGCATGAGCAGCAGCAGCAAGAATTCCGATATGCATGCTGTCACTAGATATGACTGAAGAGGAAAGGGCAGGCTGCTGTCTATTAGCACGCCTTATACCCAAAAGAAGCTGTGATTTTTCATCCCTACATCCAACAAGATTTTCTCAGCTCAGCAACAAGACGAATAAAATAGATTGATAATCTCATTTTCTCAATAATATTTCTAGTACCTTATAAAAAGGACAGAATCTCCAGCAAAGAGTCGTTTCGAGCTAACGAAAACACTCCAACCTGTAGTCAACAGGTGTCTTTTTGGTTGGCCTGAAATTAAGAATATGAAGTTTTAATATTATTGTTCAGTTATTACCAACCCAATAAAACATCTATCACAAAAATTGAGTTGCTCAAAGTTGGTGCAAACAGGAAGCATACAATGTGTCCCCAACATCTCCATGAAGCAAAATTTTAATACAAATGAAACAGATGAATCCCTTTTTGAGCAAGTTATGTATCTCACCTCTTAAAGAGACGCAAAAAAGGGCAGCTTAAACTTTTAGATGAGTTGGAAGTTAACAATTTATCATTGTATTAGAACAAGAAATAGATCCTATGTTTGAACATCACCACCTACCTGGATAATTATAATACTTGCAAGTGTTTGGCTAGCTTATGAAAAAAAGCTTAGCTACACATGAGGAGACGTGTTGAGGATATAAATAATAAAATTATCCCTCTCTCTAACAGCTTAAGCTCTTAGATAAGATGGTGGTTGATAATTTAACATTTTGAAGTCATGAGATGGTGGTTAACAATTTAACATTGTGAATGCACCATAAAGACCTGGTCCTTGTCACTCTCTGATCCCACTCATTGTCTTCCAGCAACGGAAGGAGTTCAACCAATGTGAGGGGGCCCATGAAAAGACTTGGTCCTCCTTACTCTATGAATATACTCATTGTCTTCTAGCAACGAAAAGAGTGTAACTGATGTGAGAGGCCATGTTGAGGGTATAAATAATAAAGTTATTCTTCTCTCCATGTGACTAATTGTCATTGGATATATTCATTGTCATCATCATGTGACTAATTCGATCCCTCATAGATTAGTAGAATAAGTTAACACATAGATGATAGATCTTAGCCACCAGTTGGAAACATAGTCATTGTCTTCCATTCCAACAACAAGAGTTTAATTGAAGCATCAATCGAACATGAGAATAGGACAGCAGAAAAGAAAGAATGAAAGGAAACATTTTTAAAGGGAAAGTACCTCGATAAATGTGTCTGAATGTCCATGTCTGATCATGCAAATCTTTAGCTACTATCTCCTGAGCAGGGGGTTGCATTGAAAAATCCTACCACACAACTTCTTGGTAAGCAATTAAGAAGGAAACACGTGCTCACTTTTCCATATTCACAAATTAAAATTTGAAATTGTTGCACATACTAGAGGTGGGAAGATTTTCTCAGCTGCTCGACGAGGTACAGAAAATCCACCATGAGTGCTTGTGTCACTAGCTGTTAGAGTTTTGCAGAAAAACTCTGTAGGTTGCCTGCTTTGCTTGAGGCCCATATCGGATATAAGTAATGCTTCCTGATCATACTGTAAAATAGAAATTCACAATGCTATTTCAGATAGGTTGATGTAACCTTTTCCCCTATCAAAAAGAAAAATAGGAAAGAGACAAAGAAAAACTATGTCGGACGTATAGATAGTTGACTAAAGTTGAAACTTGAAAATAAATAGCCAACCTACCTTGCTAACAGGTTGAAGAGTCATCTGCGCATAGACCTCATCAGTCTCTGAGTCAGCCTGAACCAAAACATTAATGCGTGAGTTACAAATTGAGAAGATCATATATGTTTCTATCTTCTGACCATCGAAAGATTATGTCATTGCACCTGTACTGCATGTGGCCTGCCACTCAGATTGCCCAATACTAGCCTAACTGGGTAAGTTCATCCAGAATATACTTGTTATCCATCTAAATTCACTACCCAAACAATTTAGTAAAAGCATTTGTTGTCGTGATTTCCGTTTTGTGTTTTACATAGCCACACCCAACAACCCCAAAAAAAGGAGGGTTGTGGTAGGTTGATAGCCAACATAAAAATTATAGTCACACCTTTATAAACATAGATAATAAGAATTATTCACCATGAGACTGGGGGGTGTGTTGAAGCCAAGTCTAGTGATAAATCAGCAAGGATTAGCTAGACCGTTTTCAGTAAGGGGAACATGGGTCGAGGCAATAAGAAATGGCATGATTACCTTAAGCTTAACTGAGTATATGACTTTGATTATAATTAAATGAAGGAAATAGATTTATGTAAACCAGCCAAAATATTGAGACGAAGCTTGTTGAGTGTAGATTTAAATGATTTGGACCATTGGCAATCCAAATAAGTGTCAAACTGCAGCACAGATGCAATACTTTTTCCCTAATTAACAAACAAATTAAATATAAAAAATAAAAATAAAATAAAAAAGGAATTCACTTCTTAAAAACTGTTGTGTTGAAAGATAGAAAGTTCTCATACATGTAAAGTGACATTATGTAGCATGCATATCAACTTGGAAGGAAGGTTAGGATAGTTTGGGATGCTATCAGTCTCCTTCTGCATTGATGCTGCAACCTGAGGATTGTAGTTGCAAAAGAATCTTCCATCAGAAACTAGAATCCATATTTCATAAATCTAGGAACAAAAGAGAAAACAACGTACTTGCTCACTGTGACCTTGAGGGAAGTATACCACAAGACTTCCAACAGGAGGCAAAGAAACAAGTGGACCCGCACAAGCATGCCATAATTCCGAATTAATAGCCTTCCTTTCCCCTGTTTGAATCCAAATGACAGTGTGACAATGACAAAGTCTCAAAACTCAAGAATTATAAAATACATGTTAAAGGTCTGAAAATCTATGTAACATTACATGAATTGAATTGACAAGCAAAAGTGGAACTCCTTTTAAGTTCAAAAGCAATTTCTTCATCCTTAGCTCAAGATTAATCTTTGAGGTAGAAGCAAGTAACAGTTTTCTAGGTGATAGGTGAGAACAATCAATTTAAGTAACTTTCTACGATCAGTATGACATTAGCCACAACAAGAAGTCAGCATTAAGCACAATTACTTAAAAATGAGTACCAAGGAAATAACCTAGAAAGTCATGTTTTTCACAATGAAAATTAGAGTTGTTGCACAAAAACATATTCATAGTCACCAATTTTAAGTTAAACAAGGGCAAAACTATCAATAGTTAAGTACTAACATGATATAAAGTGTAATGAGAGTTAAATAGATTAATAAGGCTACATGACCTGTCCCTCCCTTTTGGTTGTACATTCATCAATAGCAAAAACAGTGAAAACACAAATCTCTCAACTTTTTAGGTATGCACAACAAATATTAGCCATGGCAACCAATATGGCAAGCGTATTTGAGGATAGTTAAAATTTATCTTTTGCGTGTTCTTTGGCTCACCAATAAAAGCTACATCATATAGCTGCATTTGTTAATAGTAATGGCGCACACAATCACAAACAGCTACAACAACTTAATAGCCAGCATCATTAATTAGTTGCTAATTAGACAACTACAATGCCATCTTTGGATTTTCAATGACAAACACAGTGAGAAGAAACTGTCAAATTATTTAAAGGAATCTGAAATTTTGACAGGTTCAGGTTCTACAACTGTACTTTTCCATCATTCAAGTGTAGTGATAATCTGCACAAAGATATTTACAAGGGTGCTTAAATCAATTTGAGGTTAGATTCGGGAGGGGGGAAGTAGGCATAAAAGTAAAATCTGTTTTTTTTAAAAAAAATAAATAAATAAATAAATCAACAGGTTTAGTAATTTCACTACTCCAGCTAAAAGATAATCATAAAAAAATTTAATTTTTAAACAAGGAATGCAAAATCTGGAATGAAAATATGGGCCATCTGAATTCGGTTGCAAAATTAGCAATAATGGAAGGACTACACATGGTAAACATTGAATTCACTCAGATATTAGCAAAATACACAGGCTCTTTATAATGCTATAACCTCTACATATTCACTTTCTCTCTCTCTCTCTCACACACACACAAACATAGAGAGAGGGAGAGACAGGGATAACACAAGTAAATGAGATCACTTTCCCATTTTTCCATGAGATCTTCTTCATCAACAATTTTCAGCTCACCACTGAAGTTTCATTTTTTGAGTAGAAAAGGTTGCTCCTTTGACTCAACTTGAAGCCCTAAAAATGGCTTGCAATCTTGATACTTAACAGTCAATTACTCAAATGCAAAGATAATAAAGCCTAACCCAAATAAATAGACTAGACAGGCCAATATATAGAAAGAAAAACTTCAAAGAAATGAAAATTGGAGGATCAAAAACACACAAATAGTACCCCACACACACCTTCTCCTGAATTTGGCAGATACCCATTTGATGCAGCCTTCATGTTGACAAATTCATGCAACGCCTACTTCTTCTGCTTCTTCTTCTTCAATTCTCAGTTCCTTTTTTCAAAACATTAAAACTTTTTCTTTGCTGCAAATTAACAAACACCTTTAAGTCCCCTCTTTTTCACACCTTTAAGTTGCCCATTTTTCACATTGAATCCAAATCTCTCTCCGCTCAAAATGCATAAAAACAAACTTGTAATTTTTTTACTTTACTAACCTTCAAATTCCAACTTCAAATTTGACAAATAATTCCGATCTGCTTGAAAAAGGGACTCTTTTGCTGGGACCAAACACAAACTGCTCAAAAAAATTCTCGGGAAACAAACAGAAGAATCAAGTAGGGGGTTGTGGGAGGAGATCGGGAGGCGGAGAATCGGAGGACGAGACGCCGGAGAATCGACGGCGGAGAGAGAGAGAGAGGGGTAAATAATTGGAAATTATGAGTTAGAGAGAGAGAGCTGAACAAGAGGCCGACATAAAATAGACTGGAGAGAATTAAAAAATGGAAGAAATATAATTATTACAAGGCGTGCTTTGCTCTGAGCAGACATTATTCTTCTTCTTCTCTCCTCATCCCTCAAATTCCTCTAAAATTCATCTCACATTCAAACCTCAATTCACATTATTAATTCATAATTGCTCTCTCTCTCTCTCTCTCTCGCTCTTAAACTTGATGGCCTTCTACTGTTGGACCATCTTAGCTTTAATAATGATACGTTGGGTGTAGTTTATTGATTTGTTGGATTTTTTTTTTACTATTTCAAATTTTATGTTAAAGTATTTAGGGTGTGTTTAATTTATGAATTTAGAGTGTAATTTGAAAAATAAGAAAAAAAAATAAGTAAAATATAAATTTCTCTTTTTAAATTTCATTCTAAATTTATGAACCAAATATAACTTTAATGAAATATAAATATAAATAATTTATGAACCAAATACATTTTATTTTTTTATTATCAACTTTTAACTTGAAAAAAATTGCCCCACACTAACCCAATAAAAATTATTGAGAGAAAGAAAAATGTATCAAGATAAATAATTATAGGGCAAATTACACAAATAGTCCCTATAATTTGGGACTCGTGTTACGTTGGTCCCTAACTTTTCAATTGTAACACATTTGACCTTAATTTTGAATTTTGTTTTAAATAAGGATAATTGAAGATACCATTGTTTAATTTTAAGGGTAAAATCATCAATTTAATAAAATATAAACTAATTTGACAAAAATAAATGTCAAAAAAATATTTTTAATTTTTAAAAAATTATTTTTATCCACTAATGATAAAATTATGTAAAATTGATAAGAATTAATAAAAATTACATGATTAATTTTTTAAAATTAATTTTACATGATCACATCCAAACACATAATAAAAATTAAGTTGGTAAACAAAATAAATAAATGTCTAAATGATTTATCAATTTTACATAATTTTATTTTTAGTGGATAGAAATAATTTTTAAAAATTCAAAAATATTTGTTTGACATTTATTTTTGTCAAATTAGTTTATATTTTATCAAATTGACGATTTTACTCTTAAAAAATCTAATGATATCTTCAATTGTTCTTATTTGAAACAAGATTCAAAATTCAGGGTCAAATATGTCACAATTAAAAAGTTAGGGAGCAAAGTGACACAAGTCTCAAACTATAGAGACTATTAGTGTAATTCACCCATAATTATAATGGTGTGTATACAAGTCTTATACTTCTATCATAGTTTTATACTATTTTTTTGCAATTGTTCTTAAAATTATTCAGCTTGTTTAGTTTCGTTTTTCTGAAAACAGTTTTCAAAAATTCTGCATTCTTATTTTTCATGTTTTTTTGTTTTTAATGAATTTTTTTAATATTTTAAGCATTTTTTTTAATTTTTAGATATACTTAACATAAATATACCTAAAAAGTAAAAAATTTGTAAAAAAAATCTTTTAAAAATTCATTAAATACCAAGAATATAAAAAAAAAATACGAGAATTCAGTACATTTTTTATATTTTTATGTATTTATTAATTTTTTAAAATATTTTTTCACAAATTTTTTATTTTTTAGATAAATCTAAATAAGGTGCATCTAAAAAACTAAAAAAATGTTTAAAATTTTAAAAATATTCATTAAAAACAAAAAAAAACACGAAAAACAAAAAACTTAATTTTTAAAAAACTTAATCTAGAAAACTCAAACCAAACACACTAATTTGTATTCGTATTTTTTATAAGTAATTAAATAGTAAAAATTTGATAAAATGTCTTTTTAATTTTTTTTTTTATCATTTCATTAGCCCAAGGGCAGCACTAGGAATAATCATCTGTGGGGCGGCGCTAGGTATAATCATATGGGGTTAATTTTTTTAATATAATTTTTCACATGACCCCATCAAATTAATGAAAAAGCATATAAAATAGGCTTTTAGAATCTAGCCATTTTGTTTACAAATTAAGGTCTATTTAATTTTTTATTCACAGCTTTAAAATTAATTTAGGAAACAAGCTAGAAAAATTACAAACTGAAGTTTAGGTTTCTGAAAATGGAGAAAAAAGAATTGAGTTGAAGTTGAATATTTTTATGTATAATCTCATTCAATAAAAGTTAATTTGATGTAATTCAATTTATGAGAGGAAAAAAAAAATTTAAATAATCGCATAGATGAAAAAGTTCACTGACTTTAGCCCAACAAAAAGAACAAAGGCCTTAACTTACTCCATTTATGTTTCATTTCTTTGCTCTCCCATTTTCATTCCTTTCAACAAAACCAATATGAAACTTGAGGCCTCTTTTGACAAATGGGTTAAAAATTACTTCTCAACTTTTAATCCATTTTAAGTCATATCATCTTTCACATTTTTTTACACATTTATTTTTAAAAAATCAAAAAAAAAATTTAACTTTTAATCATATTTATAAAACACCCCGAAATCTACTTTACATTGCTTCCATCTTATCATTAGACTCTATACACCAATAAATGTAAGATTTCATTTGGAACAGATTTAAAAGTTAGCTTATTAATTAAAAAAATTATTTTATTAACTCTAATACAAGGAGAAATACCAATAAATCTCAAAATATGATTTTGTTAACTGTTTAGTCCTCTCTTTTTTCTTATGAACCCAAATATCCAATTAAAGTAGAAATTATACAAAAAGATAGTCACTTACACGCTTTGGTTTAATTTCTGAGGAATAAAAGTGAGTTTCTCCAAATATAAAATTATACATTTCAACAATCCGCACTATAGAGGTTTGAATTTTTCCTCATTCTAAAACAAATCTCACATTAAAAATAAAAACGTAGCACTCAAATAACATAACGCTCCAATGTAACATCAAGAAAATACTCTTTAGTGTATTTTTTTAAGCGTAGCATTCCAATATAACACACAAAAATTTCTTAGTGTACTTTTCTCAAACGTAACACTCCAATCAATATAATTCCAAATGTAACACTCTAATATAATACACTCCAATGTAACACACACAAATATTAAAAAATCTCTTAGTGTATGTTTTTCAAATGTAACAACGTAACACTCTAATCAATATTATTCTAAACATAACACTCCAATCAATATAATTCTAAACGTATCACTCCAATGTAATACACTCGAATTAACACACAAAAATACTAAAAAACTCCTTAGAATACTTTTCCCAAAAGTAACACTCACAGTTTGAAATTATACATTATCCAAAACTTACTAAGGAATTTTTGTACTCCTTTTGGAATGGTTTGAAGAATCCCATTTTTTTTTTTTTTTTGAGTATTACGTTTGAAAAAAGTAAACTAAGAAGTTTTTTTTGTATGTTAAGTTCGAGTGTTATATTAAGGAGTTTTTTTGAAGTGTTATACTGGAGTGTTACGTTTAGAAAAAGTACACTAAAGAATTTTTTGAAGTGTTGCAGTTTGAAATTATAATTTATACATTTGGTCAAAACTTACTAAGGAGTTTTTCTACTCCTTTTAAAATTTTTGAAAATTCTCGTATCTTTTTGAAATGTTTTTCAAATAAAAAAGATTCTCATATAAAAATTTATCTCAAATTTGATTTCCATAAATTGTGTATCTTATTTTTCTAGCACAAAAGAAGAAGAAAAAAAAAATCATAGAAGTAAGGGTACAACCGTAAATTTAATTTCTAAATAATATATTTAATATACCTTTTCAAAATCAATGAGACTAATTGGTCTATAAAAAAATACATAGGGTTAAATGAATCATCATTCCTCAAGGTGGGATTTATAGATAAATTTTCAAAATACAATGTAAATAGTAAGAAATATAATATGTAATATTTTCTTTTAAATAAATGTTAATTACCATTAAATATAAATTACATTTTAAAGAGTGTCTAAAAAATACTAGTTAACAATATATTAAATAAATCAGAACATTTAGCCTAATGGTTGTGCAAACCCTATTTGATGTGAGGTCTCAGGTTTAACTATTGTAGAAATGAGATTGATATGCTTTGTGATAGTGGTTATTTCTCCTCCATTATGAGAGTTGTATGTTAGTAGCCGAGTGATTGTTAGGGTTGGGCTTGGGCTTGGTAAGCTTGGTAATTGGTTATTAGGTGGAGTTGTATGTTAGTAGTCGAGTTATTGTTGGGTTTGAGCTTAGTAGGTTTGATAGTTGTTAGATGAGCTGATTTTGTTGACTTGCTAACTATTGTGAGCTACTAATATATTTGTTTAATGATGTAATATTTCTCATACTTGTAATTACTTTCTTATTGATTGAGAGGAGAAAAAAAAACAATGTATTAAATAGTTATACATTCTTCAATTACTAGTTTTTTATAGAGAATTTACAATTATTTTAAGCACATTGACAAGTGTTCTTGTAACAACCCCGATCTATAATTAACTATTAAACTCTGATTAAGAATGCCTAATTAGTACTTAAGATGAAATTATGAATTAATTGTGCATTATGTGCATGTTATTTGTGAGTATATCTATCTGACGTAGGAATATTTGCTTTGATTTCTACTTTGCTCTGTTAATTAAAGGCCTTATCAGCATCCGGACATGAAATTAACTATGTTTATATGTTATTTGGAATTTTTAGAACCCTATGATAAGTTTAATTAGAATTCGATTCGAAATCAAATAATTAGAATAAATTAATCATTAAGTTGATTGAACTTAGCTCTAATCACAATTAATTAGCTAATATTAATCAAACCTATATAAGGCTCACTTTACAACATTTTACACATTGCATCATCATCCTTAACATCAAGACAAAATG